CCCCAAAACCCCAAAACCCCAAAACCCCGTCTAGCAGCATAAATGGGAACTCTAGTATATCAAAAATAATAATAATGCTAAAATACTTAAATTAGCGCCTTTTATTGTCTAAGAATAATTAATTTATCTTTAATTTGAGGCAATTCTCGCAACAAGCTATGGAAGAGACTAGAAAAGCAGTTCAAAGAGAGAAACTAAGAATCAAGAAGCTAGATGCAAAGGCTTTCCTTCCAACTAAAGGCAGTGAACATGCTGCTGGCTATGATTTATACTCAATTGAAGACACTGTAGTGAAATCTAAGGATAAGAAATTGATCTCAACAGGAATCTCAATGTAAATACCAGTTGGAAACTATGGCCGTGTAGCCCCAAGGTCTGGATTAGCAGTCAAGAACTTTATCGATGTTGGCGCAGGAGTCATTGATGCTGACTATAGAGGAGAAGTGAAGGTTTTATTATTCAATTTTGGAGAACAAGACTTTAGTATTAATGTTGGAGACAGAGTTGCTCAATTGATCATTGAAAAGTATACTAGAACTGAGATTGAAGAAGTACCTATGGATTAAGATCTTGATTCAACTGCTAGAGGAGAAGGAGGATTCGGATCAACTGGAGTTAAACTAGACTCTAACGGCACTCATTGATGTTTCAAGTTTGAAATTTTTCATGATAATTAAGAGTGCTATAATATTTATTGATTAACCATAAAATTTGACAATTTATTGATAAACGATTTTATTAAGAATATACATGAAAATTGAAGCTATAAACTCCTTAATAATGATTAAGCCATTAGAATGGACTTAGTTGATTTTTTATTCAATCATAAAATACTATTGCTATTAAAGTATGAAGTTAATCTCAAAACAAGGTACATGAGCTTTGTTCTGAACAGCAACTCTGCTACTATGGAGTTTTTAATTTTCCTTTTCCTTTTTTATAATTGGAGGAATTCCTTGAGATTCTATTCCCCTCATTTTCAGGTGAACCCAGAGTAGAGAAATGATGAAAGCTTTAATTTGGCAGAGCTGTTCTAGATCCACCAAGATAATCTACTTCTGTCTGAACTGATTCTGCTACCACTATTGAATTGGTCATTGTTTTTGGCTTAGAGATCATTGAGCCATTTTTATCAAGCTCTTTTGAGTTGGTGCTAGACATGAGCTAGGAGTCACTAATAGAATTCTTATTGCTATCAGATTAATTTTTCTGATGAGCATTAGTCCCTTTCGGCTATCTGCCCAGTTTTGTAAATTTTTTAAGCTCTTCTTCCATCCTAGATCTCTCGTTGTTAGCTTTGTTAATGTTAAGGTTTATCCTCAGTAACTTCTCTTCTAAGTCCTCTAGCTCCTCTTTCAAAGTTTTAATGGTATCCTTAAGTTCATTTTGCTCAGTATTAATTAGTGATTTTCTCTCTAGTAGAGATTTACACTCTTCATTCATGCTCTGGTTTTCATTTTGTAGTTACTTCATAGTTTTTTTCAACTCTTTCTTCCTCTCTTTTAGCTTATCCTTTTCATGCCTAGTCCTTTCCACAAATCCTTCAAAGTCCTCGTCGAGAATTTTACACTCATCTTCCTTCTTTGTGAGTTGCTATTATAGACATTGGATAGTTTACTATTAGACTTCAATTTATTATTTAGAAGCTTTAACCATTACTCTGATGTAAAATTTCCTATCGCAGATCTTACAAATATCTCCTCTGTTTTTATAGTCTGGATTATTTAATGGGAAGGGGAAAGTTTTCACCAGACACAACTTGCAATATGGATAGCCACAGAATTCACTATTAAGTGGATTAAAGTATTTGGGGTTTATCTTACCAGTACTAAGGTGATTTAGCACTTTTAAATTGAGTTTCACAGCACATACAGCCATTATGCCCATTTGATTAATTTCTGCTGGGAGTAGCATACTCTCTGTAGAATATTGGGTCTTCATCATCAAATTAGAACCTTCTTCTGTCAATTTCAAAGTACTTCACCTCCTCCATTAGATTACTAATGAGATCATTGGAGCCGCCTTCATTGTCTCCTCTTCTTTTCGCCTCTTATTTCAATTGATGCTGCTCCTTCACGCTATTATCAAATGCATTCTGAAAAGATTTGTCATCGATTACAAGTTTGGCTAAATTTTGAAAACTACTTGGAGTAGTAGATGAATTCCCTATTATATTAAAATTAGCTGTTGATCATAGGATACAAATTACTGAAATTCAACTTACTCTTGAATTAGTTAGGATTTACTGAGCGAGACATATTCATTGGGGCCTAGAAACTTATAGACGAGGTCTTTTTATCCATCATATCGCTATTATTATATTTTAATTCTATTTAATCAGATTTAGATAATAATAAGATTGCTTTCAAAATTGGCACTCTGGGGTTTTGGGGTTTTGGGGTTTTGGGG